ACTTAATTCCCTAAGAGGCCTTGACCCTCGTCGCTGACTGAAACGATCACGGCTCAGAGGTTGGGACTTGCATGATTTTGTTAACCAGGAAAATGAAATGTTTTCTTATCTGTTGTTTTATAGAGCCAAGTCAAAGTAAACAAACAGCTCTGATCGGTGGTGTGGCAGGCGCTGGAGGATTTGGTCTGGTCGCAATTGTAGCTCTGGTTGTTTTGTTAGTCAAGTTCCGTAGGATGCAGCGGTTACAAAACAGCAAGAATGACGAGAGAGCTGGATACACCATCCTGCTTACACAAGTGAAAGGAAAACAAAGCAGTGTTTAAAACGATTACAGTGTTAAATGACTAATGGTAGCTTCAATTGTTTGCTAAATTGCCTCTGTGTAGCTTGGATGTTTTGAATTTATAGCCTATTTGTCACTTTTCAGAGGGAACATATTTGTTTGCGTAGTTCCATATTGTAGAGTGCGTGAAAACGAACATTGGTTTCACCTAGGGCTCATCGTTATTTCGAAGGTGTCCTACAGACGCTTAGCAAGTATAGCAGTATGTATTAGTCAAACCTTTTAATTTTGAGCATATACAGAGATCATATATAATCGGCTATCAGTAATAGTACTCATAATAACTTTTCCAAAGTTTTTTTGTATGTCTAACATGGTTTTGTTAACATTGTTAAAGTAGAGAAATGATATACCGCTCTGCTGCAATTTTGCAAAAACTCTCGCCTGGTCTTCATGATTATATGCACCCAATTACTTGAGCACTATGTTTTCAAGAGTGTTCTTAAAAAGATAACATTTTCATTTTAACTGTTCTCAGTTAAATAACTGCTAATACTTTATAAAAATGTACAAAATCCCAGTTCATAATAATGTTTCTTTGCTATCGGAGTTGCCAAAAACAACCACCAAGCGTGGCCCACGCATAGATCGAGAACCTGGAACACGCTGAATTGCTTCTGACCCACGTCTATTCTGCATGTGTGTCGCCCTTTATCCCTCGGCGTGTTTTTTTTTTTTCCTGCTTTCTCTTTTTTTGAAAGCTCTTCTTGTTCTTTGGTAAATAATTTTCAATCTGGGAATCTACATGCTTAAATATAGGCCTTTTCATTCAGAGAGACATTACTATATCAAAACACTATTTCCTGATATATGAACAGGTAAAAATGTTAATTTTAAATTATTTACCACCTCTGTGGTTGTAAAGAAAGGCGGGATGTTACACTGAAATCAGCTTACTGTCTATACCCTTTGATCGCCAGTAAAAAGGTGCAAAATAAGTTTCTTTAAACTAGTATTTCAACCTTTTTTATCTTAGACCAAACCGCAAGTGTTTCGTGCGGGGAGAACAAAATAACGGTGTATTTGGAAAAGCGAAGATTCTACAAATTTAAAGCCAATCAACTACACTCATGCTATGATTCGTGTAAAGGAATCGAGAATGCCACCCACTTCTTGATCACCACATCTTTAGATAGCTGCGGGACGTTGCGGAACGAAGCCGAAGATTTTCT